CTTGTATTTCTTGACATTTATTTTCCTTGTCAATTACCGCACTTAATTCTTCCTCCTAAAAACATGAAAGTACACTAACTGAAGATCTTGCTGTTTTCTGTAGTGTAGCCAGGAAAAACAGTAGCAAGCTGTCTTCTTCAAAGTCACGTTTCTGGAAGATATTCCAGCAACCTGGATGCTTAAGCACATTCTTAAGAAAAACAAGCTCCATTTAATTAAGAAACTATTTGCTTATTCTCTTATTGACAAGTCTAAGTTGCTTCTTATTCTGACTTTTCTTAGTTGGAGAAATTGGTCATACCACATGTGCAGTGTAAGAGTATAAAAATAATATCCCAATAGCTAAAGTTAGGCTATAAGTGATTGAATAAATAAAAGCATTTGAGTCAAAATTGTAATGAGTGTCCATGGACTAAATTTGGCTGTTTCAGGATTGCAACTGTACTGTGTGTCATTTCTTACAGTACTACAAAATAAGGTAGATAACATTCCCTCATGCTAACTTAAATTGTATTAATCTTTATTAAGTATCTCCTTTTCTTTTCTTGCCATTAATAATGAGGTTAAGAGGGGGACCTATATTTCTGTATATGGTGCTGTTGCCTAAAGCTTGTAAATTGGAAATCTATATAAAGTATGTATTAAAGTGGCTAATAAAACAATCTTTATAGATGGAGTGAATTAGTTTTTCTGTTGTTTGCTACTAATCAATCTGTAACTTTATTTTATCAGAACAGGTACTCTAATTTTCGCTCTATGTGGCAGTCTTTTGTAGGGAGGTGGGCAGGGAAGGAAGGAAGGAAAGAAGGCAAGACTGCAATTTAGAAAAGTGTTTTAGTGTCAGCTCTTAGATTTTAATTTAGAACTTTTTACATTGTTATGCTAAGAGAACTGAATCATAGAAGGATGCTACATATAATTCTTTAAGCAATTGCCCTATTAATAAAAGTAGTCATTGTCAGCCATTCAGTTGTGTCCCTCAGCCATTCTATGGATCAGCTCCTCTGTCTTTTCACCACATCCTTCACATCTGCCATAGTCGTCCTGGTACCATCCTTTGATTCAGCCCGAGGGCAGTCCATTCTTGTTTTTCCACTGATCACGCCCAGTATGATTGACTTTTTGAGTGGGTCAATAAGTGATGTCAATAAGTGAATTAATAAAAGTAAAGCATTATAATTAATTACTTACAGATTGTATTAGTGTAGAATATATGGGATATCCAGCAACTGAGCAGTAATTGCCTTCTATCCTGTAAGTTTGGAGAACGCTCAAATATTTTGCAATTTTATGCACTTAGCTGTAAGATACATGCAAGGTCATAAATGTGACTGTTTTACAAACGAGTATGGAAGACTGCACTTAGTGTATAGGCAAGGGCAAAGAACTTTAGTTTTTACTTTGTTTCCTGCTGTCTTACAGTAGCACTGACTGCTAACCACACATTCTAATTTAGAATGATACATTCTTCTTATTTCTTGATCCTAATTGGTTTATTGGTCTTTATCATCCATTTACTTCCTTTATCTTCTACCAACCTGAGAAGAAATGGAGACAGTCTTATATTACAAAACATTTCATTCACCTAAATAATATGTGCAGCATTTAAATGAAAATAATTACACAAATCAATAAGAAAGTGATCCCTGCACCGTATGATACCTTGCTAAAATTTTGCCCAAGTTGCAAATGTATTCTCTGTATTAACTTACAAAATCAAGTGTACCAATTACTTCCTGGAAGTGTACTTATTTGGTAGAGACAAGAAAACTGTCTTCCATCATACTGCCTGAACCATGCCAGGAAATAAGTAGTCATCTGCATGATGCTTCTGCCAGTGTATATTGCCATATCCTTGTGGTGCCACACCATCAGTGATACCGTATTTCTCTGTGATTAAGATATGATAATTATCTCTAGTACAAGTGTATTTACTCATATAGCTGGAATACTGACATTGGCATAACTATATCTTAATATTGACTTCTGTACAGAATTGTAATATAAGTAATTAAGAATATATATTTTAAGGGCATGTTTAAAGAAATAAAATGTGGAAAGTATTTTGTGGCCAACAACATTGACATACTAGGGTACATCTTCTATACAAAGCTTGCAGAAAATTTATAAAGGCTGAAAATATTTTGAAGGGTTAATCTAAGTAATATATCTTCCTATGGCTCCAATAATATGTGAGTATATATGGGGAATAAAGGTATCTGTAGAGAAGAAGTTTAGAAATTAATTCTATCTACTGCAGGCTTTATGAATGTTTAACCTAATGTGAATATATTAAAATTGCCCTGGATTTGCCACTTTTTAAATTTTCCTTATGACTTTTCTGCTATGGGTTTGTGGGGAGGGTGTGTGTTAAAAATCTATTTGGCTTTAGAACTAAATTTAGTTAAAATTATTCATGTCTAAAATTAATGAATCTGGGTGGGAAAGTTAATAAAATTCAGTTTTGATGCAACATTTAAAACTTCTTGGGAAGAACAAACAAGTCATTTGAGGCGAATAAATGACACCATTTGTTTCTTTTGTTTATTTAATGTCATGTGACAAGTTCCTCAAGCTCAATAATACTTGGGGAAAAATATTTTATTGTATAGAACAGTTAGTAAAATGTTGATAACATCTTTAACAAAATATTAGTAATATAATACATAATTATGGGAGAAAGGTTATTTCCATTTCTTATTGAGTATGAATGTCAACACACATGTTAAGCTTTCAGCTTTGTGAAAAGGGTATTTATTTAAAAGAAATGGAAGTATGCATATCTTGATTAACTTCTAATTGTGTAATGCAAGGTTGTTGTTTTTTTAAAAAAAACAGTCTGTACTTCAGAAAGGTGGGAAACCTTTCTGTTAAATTATTTTTACAAGTCTAATAGATGATTGATAATGAGTTTAATCTTAATTCAATATATATCAGATGCCAAATCATTTGTACTCTCTGTGCAAGGTACAAATGCCCAAAGTCCATATGTAAGCTAAATATCTCACAAATGCATGTACAAAACTGGAATGCACAAGATTTTTCTACACAAAGATTCCTAACCTTTGAATGAACTATTGGAGCCCACACTTTATAAAGGAATGGATTGAGACAGAACAAAAATTTAATTTCATATAAAATCATTTATATTTACAGGCAAGTGAAATTAAATATAGTTGTGGGTTTTTTTCCCCAGTTGTGTATTAGAAAATCAATCGTTTGTGAGTTTCAGATAGCAGGAAAAGCATTTATAGATAGTTTGAAATCTTTGAGATCTTAGATTGTATTCCTTGGATTTTAAAAAAAAGATTGAATAATAAATGCTTGCATAAAAGAGCTTATATAATCATGGGTAGAACTTGTTGACAAAGTGAAAAACAGCTGACAGAATTCCACTAGAGTTGATTGATAGGATGAAAATAGACAATAGAGGAGACCGATTAAGAGTTTATTTGGTTCAGGAATTAGTGAAATAAAAGAACATTATGGTATTGGTGGTGATAGAAGGGAATCTTTGTTTTGATTGAAACACTCTTGAGATTATTACAGGAAATACCATGAGACTGATCTTCATCAAAGCAATTCCTTCATTGGCATTTAAAGAGGGACACTGATTACTGCTTTTCCAGGTCAGTAGCTGGCCAAAGCAAGCAGCCTCTTGAATCTCAGTTGAGAATATTGTAAAATCTTACTTTTTTAATGTCAAGGTGTTATATTGAGGTTGAGTACTCCAATGATAAGGATCAAAATGGCTCCATACAGGTAGTCCTTGGGTTATGATGGCAAGTGGGGTGAGAATTTTGGTAGCAAGGCTCCCCAGCTGAAAAAGGACAGGAGCAACTTACAGGAATGTCGTGCAACCTCTTTACCTGCTGACGTGCCCATTGACTTTGCTTGTGGAAAGCTGGCATGGGAAGTTGCAAATGGCAATTTTGTGACTGCAGCTCACTGTGATGTAATTGCAAGCTGGGCATCTAAGTACCCAGATAGCAGTCACATGACTGTTGGGCCACTTCAATGGCCGCAGTTTCATGGAGTGATCATAAGTCCCCCTTGTTCAGAACTGTCATAATTTTGAATGGTTGCTGAATATGAGGTTGTAACTCAAGTTCTATCTGTGAATCAAAATGATGGTGCATTGCAAAGGTTTCTACCCCTTTGTGTGCCTTACAAATCTATAAAAATAGTAATCTTTTTATATATTATTAGATTATGGGAGCAGATAATGGGCTAGGTGTTCTGAATTTACTGGGTTAAATGATTTTTATAGGACTGTGACCGGGTACGAAGACCAGGAAACCTATAGATATATTACAATATATAGCCTTGTTTTGCCTTGATATTGCCCATATTTTCCCCCTTTAAATTTTTTCCCCTCTGCCAAAATCTTGAATAGATAAATGTAAGAGTGGGTTCTTACACTGATGTAGCTAGTAACGAAGTGAGGACTGCTTCACATTCTCAGAGGAGATTGACATCCACTCCAGTGCACTGAAAGCACAGGAGTAAAAAAGGCAAATCTAACGGCTTTGAATGCTTCTAAAATGTGCTGCAATTATTCTATTCTCAGTTCAATTCTTATTTAATTGATTGCTTAGTTCAATTGTTGTTTGGCTGATCTGCTCCAGTCCTGATTGCTGTTAGAGAGGGATCTAACAATACCTATGAATCAAGGAAATATTTTGATTTGCATCTGGAAGTTTATGGAAAGCCAATATGGAAGTTAAAATACTAGGTGTGTTAACTCTTTTTGTTCTGTTGTACCCATATGTCTTCACCAAAAGAAGGAAAATAATGCGAGTGCTCAGTGTTTTTATTATTTTTTTAACCTAGAGTACCACAAGTGAAAGATCCATCAGTTTCAGTGATAACAATTGTATTGATTCTCTGGCAAATAAAAGAAACATGCAAGTTGACCTATGGTCCAAATCTCACTTTGGACAATTCAAATATGATTAAATTTCATTATTCATGTGTTAACTTGTCTCTTGATTGAACAGAATTTGGCCTGCTGGAATCCTTCAAATCCTGAATGCCTCCTGCTTGTTGTAAAGGAACTTGTACAACAGTATCACCAGTTTCAATGCAGCAGATTACGTGAGAGCTCTCGGCTCATGTTTGAATATCAAACATTACTTGAAGAACCTCAGTATGGAGAGAATATGGAAATTTATGCTGGCAAAAAGAACAACTGGGTAAGAGTACAACAACAGAAGAGTACTACCGTACTAGAGATTCCTTTCCATAGTAACTATAACCTGATTGGAAGAAGATGTTTGTCCTAGGTGTGTATTTCTTAAAATAGATGTCCTCAGTTTATCTTTGTTTCTCTTCTCCCTTCGTGCTGTTTAGCAATTTTATTCCATTACCTTCCTTGAACTTGTTTCCTAGGTAAACAACTATGGCTAACAATTATGTGGAATTGAAGATTATGAATGCAATAAAGCACTTCTCACTGATCTTAACATTTAATAAATATTTTTATTCTAATTAAATAAATTCTACAAGCTTAACTAAAATGTAAGAGACCGGAGCTGGAAATGCTTCCTTCTCTTTCCTTCTTTTTCCAATAAAAGAGGCAATAAAAAGTAACAACAACACTTGATATTGAGATGATGCCCTCCAGTTTTCAGGGTAATTTGTAAGAAAATTGTCTGTGATTGAGTTGCAGATTCAATAGCAATATGTGATTGTATACCATTGTGAAATAGCATACAGCATGTAAAAATAAAATAATTGAACATGATTCTAGGTATTTATTGTAAGCAGAAATTTAAAGCAGAATAGAACCTGTTTTTATTTATTTATCAAATTTAGAAACTGCCCATCTCACTCACAGAGTGACTTTTTAGTTTCAGGAAGTAGCTAAAGACCAGAGTTCTCAATCTCTGGTTCAGTAACTCCTTAAACTGATGCATTAATTTGTGGACTGGTACAATGGATAAAATGATTTCATTATGTGTATATACCATTTATTTTTAATAATTACATTTTGACCTGCATATTCAGTAAAACAATATTAAATAAAAATAAAATAAAAAATATTAAAAATAAACTATTAAATAGGCACAACTTCATATAAAAAGATAACCTTTATTAACAACTATAATCACTAATACTTCTTCCCGGTTCCAAATGGGCTGTGGCCTGGTACTGGCCCCTGGCCCCGGGGGGGGGGTTAGGGACCCCTGGTCTGTATATCAATAAAGTATACTTTTAGTCAGATTTGTAGAGTTTGTTTTCTGACTTGCCTAACTTGAGGGGCATACAGTCCTGCCTGAATGATTCTTCTGTTGAATGACCAAAGTTATGAATTAAATTAATTATGATATGCAACACTGATGTGCCCAGATTGGTAATGATTTGACTAAAAGTGTCTGATGTCTTTCCAAAATAATATAGCAATAGAATATTGCTATATAATAGAGCTGATCACCGACCATTGTTTCTTCATAATGTGTAATGTGTAATATGTGTGTAATGTGTAATAATCTGAGAATGTGGTGATCCTTATATAGTGATTAAAAAGCTGGTTCCTCATTAGTTAATCCTTTTATAAAAACTGTATAAAATAGTAGCACAGGAGATGCAATTTAATTAGACCAATTAAAAATTGTTGAAATATGTTGCAAGGGTTGCAAAGGTTTTTTTTCATGAAGTCTCATAAAATTCAAGGGGGAATGCAAAATCTCAAAAAAGTTTTCAATGCTCACAGGAGGTTTCAAGAATTACATTCTGTGGCATCAGTTATCATTTGGTTCTTTCAAAAAAGTGTTTATGTAGTACTGACAGAATATGCAGACTAAGTATTTAAAAGATATCACTAGGGCAAGTTTTATATTTGGCCTTTTTTTCTAAGGAAGGATGCAACTCATACATCTACTGAAACTGGACACAAGGTCCCCACAAGATCTGAATTCCATTAGTCCTGAATTAGGAGTTAGCGCATAATGATCATTATAATTGGAAGATGGGAATGACATAATTGAGAGATATCTTGCTATCACTGGAGCCTGCTTTGCTGCAGACACCTTGCTTGCTCTGTGATTAGCTTTTAGTGTGTTACGTAACTCTAAAAATTCAGTCTGTTTCAGTTATGTCTCCAGATTATTAGGAATGCAAACTCTCAATTCAATATTGAGATCTTCTTTTTTTCTTTTTTCTTTAATTGATAGACTGGTGAATTTTCAGCTCGTTTCCTTCTGAAATTACCAGTGGACTTCAGCAACATCCCTACCTACCTTCTCAAGGTAAAATAATTATTTTACTTGAGCTACCACTTTCTTGGAAATAAATGAATTCCAATGCTTCCTGTTTTTTTTTGTAACTCCTTCCCCCCCCCTTTGATTCCCTCTCTTTCTCTTTTAATCTTTTCTGATATATATTTTTTCTTTCTTTGAAACTTAATAAAGCTGGTTAAACAGTTCTGCATCTTTCTTTTGTCTTCACTGTGTATTTTCATAAGCCTTATCTTGCAAAAAACTGAATTCGGTTGAGGTATCAGAATAAGTAGGCATTACATGTAAATTTCGCTAAAAATCCTTCAGTAGTTTTCAACAAGACATTTAATATCCAAATAGATTTAAATGATTCTGTTTAAGCCTTTGAAACTTTGTCAGTGAGTCAACAACCTAACTGAGGAGGAGGTACACATAGGAACTTTTCTGTAGTTAGGAAACCTATTGAATTCAAGCCAGAAAAAGAGATGCTATGAGGTTGTTAAATTCTTAGGGAAATGAAAAATGAATATATATTGTTCAGATATGTATTAAATTCTGCTATGGCAAATGTGCTGATATGAAGAGAAAGCTCAGCTATATCTAAAGGAACAGATAACGTCTCCTGTATGTAGCTTCTCAGTCTATCTATCTATCTAAAGCCTAAATAACAAGAACAAGAAAGATTACTTGAAATATTTTAAATATTATTTTTATTATTAACAAGTTGCAATTTTACATCCACTTTTCCAGATTAAGCTCTTTTAAACTGATTAATCTGTACCTTTGAGAAGAGTTTTGGGTGTGTGTGTGTGTAAGGAGAGGGGGGAATTGTGTTGCTAAAATGTATTACAGCAGAGGTGTCAAACTCGCAATGTCACGTAACGTGTCGCAACATATCGCGACTTTTTCCCCATTGCCGGAGCTGGGGTGGGCACGGTTTCGGCATGCTGCATCCAGCCCACGGGCCGGCAGTTTGACACCCCTGTATTACAGTAATCATCAAACAAAGCACCCACTCACACCTGTGATAGTATCCTAAGAACTTTAGTTAGCTCTGTGCCATTAAATTTAACTCAGTTCTCACTACTGTAATTCCGATTGACAAACACTATTCCTTCTAGTTTTCATGAATAACCCTTACCTCTGTTAGAGATATTTCAGGAAAACAGCCATTCACTTCATTTATTGTTTTCCACTTTTTCAACAATCCCCAACCTTGCCAAACATGATATTTGATAAAATCCAGCATTTCTTTCATCACGTGCCCAAAGTATGTGAGTTATGAAATATTAAATTTAACTAAAATGAAATATAACATTTGCAAAATTATCATTCTTATATTTCCTTGCATGAAGATTCCAAATATCCACCCCATAATCTTGCTTCTATTTCAATGTGTTAGATTGAAATTGATATTGTTCTAATTTTAAAATATTAAGCTGATTGATTTCAGAAAAGTTAATATAAAAAATCTAACCATTATGATATAAAATTCATATAGGAAGAAGTATTAGTGATTATAATTGTTAATAAAGGTTATCTTTTTTATATGAAGCTGTGCCTTAACATAATGAAAAGGAAAGGAATACTGAACTTGTTAGAAAATCATGACTGGCTGATGTGGACTTTTAATATATCGAAGAGGATGCTTCTTTCCAGATGTCCTTGAAATTTTAAAGCTATGCTTTTCTATGTTAAAAAGTTCCTTTTTAGTTGAGATACAATATTAGTATCCAGTTTTCTGGAGATTGCAAATAAATAATTGAGGTATCTCAATATATTGCTTGTGTTAACTGAAAAATATAACTGTCAGCCCATTTGAAGCATTCACCCATATACAAGTAGCTGTGTTTTTAAAGAGTATATTGATAATATGTTATCATGCTTAATAGGCACAAAGGAAAAGGTTTTTCTTCTGTTATCACTTGGGGGATGAAATATGTGGGAAAGTCACCTAGATAAGATATTTGCACTTGACATTCAGTGTAATATAGAAAGCAGCAAATGGAGCCATCTCCATTTTATTTGTTATAAATTCAGATATTTAGAATTTACTGTCAAGTAGCAAATACTAGTGCATCTTCAAAACTGGGAAAATTACAGATAGGAAAGAGTCCAGATAGATGATTTAAAAACACTGTTTGCCTGAATTTTTCTTCAGTCTAGCTTCTTTCCTTGTAGCTTAATGAAAAAAGCCCCTGTTGTTCATGTGTGATAAAAACCTATAGAAATAAAGCATACATAATTAGTAATTATATGCATCCATAGTAATTTGCTGGAAAAAGAAGCAATATCAGTAGAATCTATGGTCAACTTTATTGTTGAAAATAAGTAGCTATTTGAAAAATATACAGCACCCTATATTTTAGCACATATAGAACGATATTTCTTGCTTCCCCAGTCTTTGGGCAACCTTTATCATCCTATTATTGAGAAAAGGATATGGTTAAGAATGTTGCCATATAAGAAACATGAGAATCATCCTACAGTGGGATGTTAAAAAAAATGAAGGCTGATTACTATAATAAAAGAAAAAATAGCATTTTCTTATAGATTCAGTAGGAAAAGGACTGATGGGGTGGGGTAAGAATTCCATGGAGGTTTCAATAAAATACTAATAATTGCTAGCTAGTTTGTTACAATGCAGAAATTCAGCTGTTGGAAAAACAAGTATTGTTCAAATTAACTTTCTCTGGGTCCCTGAACTTTTCTCTTACCAAGTTGTCAGCCTTCCAGAGTAGGCCAGGCCAGGAAACTGACAATGCAAAGATTACAGGAACTCTTTTTTATTATTGAAAAGTATAATAACCAAATCTCAAAAGCCTGCCAGAATTTGCCTTTGCCCCCTCTTATACCAAAGAGAACCAGAATAACAGAATAACAGAGTTGGAAGGGACGTTGGAGGTCTTCTAGTCCAACCCCCTGCTCAAGCAGGAAAACCTATACCGTTTCAGTCAAATGGTTGCCCAATCTCTTCTTAAAAACTCAGAGTGGGATTATTTTAAATTTCTTTGTCTCCTTTTTCCTTTTCCAGGACTATGTTGTTGTTTCTCCTCCTGCTGCATTCTTTCATTGAAGTTATCTCTACATTCCTCTGTCTCAGTTATGCAAAAATGCTCTCATTACTTGAGCTGGGAAATTTCTGTTCTACTGAAAAATTCTTTCAGTTTGTATAAAATTCTAGACAAATGGGAAAAAACATCTTAGCTGACTGATGTCTCTCTGATGATACATAAAGCATCAGTTTGAAAGAACCCTAGGGCTGTGAGTTGCTTTATCTCAAATGGAGATTACTGCAGGACAAGATCCAAATCAGGTTTTGTTTTCAGTTTTAGCATTCCCGGTGCACTTTACAAGGGAACATTAACTTCAACTAAACTCATCATTCTAATAATACCTATTTATATGATGTGTCTACTTTTTGTTTTAATGAACTAGATCATAAAGCATTGGACTTATTAAATCTCATCATGTATTGAGAGCTCTGGAAAGGGGCTTGTGAGGTATTAAATGGAGAGGGAAAACGAGTGATCCTGTTCAGTTTTTGATTCTTTCCTGATTACCACCAACAGAACAACAAAATCTCTTGAACAGGGCAGATGAACATCTCTATGCTAATCCACCTCTCCTGTCCTTCAAATGCTGGAAAAAAAGTTTACCAATCTTACTGTGAAAGTGTCTCTATTACCTATGATTTGACCTATAATTTTGTGTATAAACAAATTATACACAGATATTTGAGGCATAATAATTTACAAGCCAAACACAGTTGAAATGCTGCTAATACCTTTGGAACATTATTAATAATGGGAAAATATGTGAGGGCAGAGGTCTATCCACAGATATAACTGAGATGATATTCTAAAAAGTTTTCTAATTATCATAGTAATAAACTGTGGCTGAGCTGTTACAACTTTAACTGTAGGAAGGTTGAATCGTAGACTATATCTTCCTTCCTTAACTGGATCCCCATCAATTAGGCGTTTCAGTCCCAGTGTGTAAGAAATCTGTACAATGTTCTGTCATTGTGACAGTATGGTGTTTTAACCTAATTGTTGGCAACATGTAGTATATGATTCTCGTATCAGTTGTAATTTCTTAGTTCACTTTAGTGATGCCAAATCTTCCCAGTGATGTGCTTTTCTAATTGCTTCACTTTTTGTTTAAACAAGAAAGGCAATGAATACAGGAGCTATTGTCCATACTGATTAGGGAGTCACATATTTTATGTGACAAAGAATCATATATACTGTGCCCTTGAAGCTCAGAGAAAACTTAAACTTTTAAAATATATGAATTTGCCCTAAGTAACGAACAACAAATAACATTAATTTCTTGCTTATAGTGATTGCTGTGCCTGATTATTCAGTGAACAGTGAGCATTTCTGTCAGAGTTTATTTTGCTAATAACAATATTAAGCCAAGAGCATCCAAAGCATTATCTTTTTCTTTGCAAATATTGTCTGATCAAAAAAGAGTAAGAATAATAATGTAGGCATCCATTGTCTAATACATTAAGAGTTTTGATTGACTTTTTTTTAATCATAAAGGACAATATGTTATGTCTTTGTCTTTTGTATGGTTGGGAAATCAGTGCAACATTTTGCTAAATGTTGTTCAAATTATATATATACATGCCTTTTTATATATACAGGTTGTCCTCAGTTAACAAGGTTAATTGGAGCCAAAATTTCCATCATTTTGCAATGTATCTGTAAAGCACAGTCATGTGACTGCATTGATTAACAATGGCAATCCCAGCCTATCACTATTATTAAATGTGGTTTTCAGGTTGTTAAGTGAGAACCCCTCACAACTTCCTGCTGGTGTCCAACAGCAAAAATCAGTGGAGAAGCTAGCAGGAAGTTCCATGCCCCTGGCAGCTTGCAAGCAGGCAGGCAGATAAATGGCTGACGTGGGATGAGGAAAGGTGCACAACGGTCTAATGCGGCATGCTGCAAATGCAGCAAGGCTTCAAGTGACTGCTGTCAGGCAAGAGCGGGTACAAGAGTCCAATGCAACACTGTGTG